CGTGTGGAGGTCTCCTTTCATTTCAAGGGCTCGCACTTTAGCCATGGCTGTCCCCTTGGGATCAATGGCTCCGAAGGCTTCTTTGAATGAAACCTTGAACTCATCCCAGCTACTGTAACCGATGAGGTTCCCTGCGGTATTCTTCAGTTTGGCGTTCTGAGCGGTCTCCATGAAGTCTTCTTTCCAAGCGGCAGCATTGCCCTTGGTCATAAACGAGAGCGCGAAGATTACTTTCTTCTTGTCATTGTCGTAGATTTTCTCGTTGATGTCTAAATACGCATTACAGTTCAGCATGAACCTGTGCGATTCGTCGCGGTCTCCGTCGAATTCGGGTGGAGTACCGATCTTAATTTCAAATTCTTTGGTGGTGGTCGCCATCGTATTCAGCGGTGGTATCGGCGGTAGCGCGCCTAAGTTCAAAGCTCCGATCAAAGGAGTTAACGAAGTCGTGGTGTCTTGCTGACGTCGCAGGTGGCGGCGTCTGGAAAAAGGACTTTAATCTTTTGTTACGACTGGGGTATGTCGAGCTGTCTAAGTCCGAGTGGACTGAGATTCGGCGAGACAGACGTGGTTCTTCTCTCGAGTGAGAGGTCAAAGGTTTCTGGCTAAGGCAAGTATCGGCGACTTCCTTAGAATAGTGGTTTCTTAGATAGCAAGGTTGGAGACCTTGCTAAAGGACTTGTTCCAGGTAAAACCCAGTAGATTAAAGTAAGGAATACATGTGGTACGCTATGTAACTATATAGCGTGAGTTCAAGCGGAGATTGTAAGTGCGTATCAAGATAGAAGGCGGACAGCCCGCTTGGTAAGTGATAAGAGATAACCGATAGGAGATAGTAACCATGGTGCGGACAGCCCGCTTCGATAAGAGATAGTGATCTAAATATAGTGATGGTTACTGCTACGGAAGGTTAGCTTGGCGATGATATGAGTGAGGTTCTGGAAGGTGATTGGTCGTTCGTTAAGAGCCGTGTGCATGTACCATTGTCCAGTATCGAAAGAGAAACGAAGAGAATGAATGTACCGTAACAATGAGAAGGAAATGAAGGCATCGTTCACAGTGTTGGATGTGGGGATGGCCGGTGTTGGATGTGGGATGCAATTGTCATGTGGGGAGGATGGTAAACAGTCTCCTTCGGTATGGTCCTGCAGTGACTTCCCAATCACTGCATACCACACTCGGACAGTGCCATCCCATGAAGAAGAAATGATGCGGGTCCCGTCCCGTGAGAATGAGACTGAGTTGACCCCCTCAGTGTGCCCCTGCAAGGGCTCACCGACTGGTTGCCCTGTGGCGAGATCCCACAACCGGACTATCTTATCATCCGAACCAGAAACGATGTGTGTCCCATCAGGAGAGAACGAGACTGAATTGACATAGCCAGTGTGCCCCTCCATGAGCTCTCCAACAGGCTTCCCCATTACTGTATCCCACAGCCAGATTGTCCTATTGTCCGAACCAGAAACGATGTGAGTCCTGTCCGGAGAGAACGAGACAGACCTAACCTGATCAGTGTGCCCGAGGAAAGGCTCACCCACTAACTGCCCTGTCCCTGCGTCCCACAACCAGACAGTCTTATCTGCAGAACCAGTCGTGATGCGAGTTCCGTCCGGCGAGAATGAGACTGACAAAACACAATCAGTGTGCCCCTCCAAGGGCTCACCAACAGGCTTCCCTGTTCCTGCATCCCACAGCCAGACTGTCGTATCGTCCGAACCAGAAACAATGTGTGTCCCATCCAGAGAGAACAATACTGAGTTAACCCCACCAGTGTGCCCGCAGAAAGGCTCACCCACTAACTGCCCCGTTCCTGCGTCCCACAGCCGGACAGTCTTATCTGCAGAACCAGTTGCGATGCGAGTCTCATCCGGAGAGAACGAGACTGACCAGACATAATCAGTGTGCCCCAAGAAGGGCTCACTAACTGGACAACATGTCACTGCATCGAACAGCTGGACAGTGCCACCCAGAGAACCAGTGGCGAAGCGGGTCCCATCCAGCGATAGCGAGAGTGAGGTAATGGGATTGGGATTGGGATTGGGATTGGTGGGCTCACCAACTGGCTTCCCTGTAGATGCATCCCACAGTCGGACAGTGTTATCTGAAGAAGCGGTCACGATGCGAATCCCATCTGGAGAGAACGAGACTGAGTTGACCCAACTAGTGTGCCCCAATAAGGGCTCACCCACTGGCTTCCCTGTTGCTAGATCCCACAACCGGACAGTACAATCGTCCGAACCTGTCACGATGCGACTTCCGTCTGGCAAGAATGAAACTGACTTCACCCAATCAGTGTGCCCCTCCATGGGCTCACCGACAGGCTTCCCTGTCGCCACATCCCACAGCTGGACAGTCTTATCGGCCGAACCAGAGACAATGCGAGTCCCATCTGGAGAGAACGAGACTGACCAAACCAAATTAGTGTGCCCCAGCAAGGGCTCACCAACAGGCTTCCCCATTCCTGCATCCCACAGCCAGATAGTTTGATCGCACGAACCAGAAATGATGTGTTTCCCATCCAGAGAAAACGAGACTGATGTGACCAAAGAAGTGTGCCCATCCAAGGGCTCACCAATTGGCTGCCACGTTGCTGCATCCCGTAGCCGGAGAGTCATATCCCATGAACCTGAAACAATGCGAGTTCCGTCCGGTGAGAACGCGACCGAGTTAACTGACTCAGTATGCCCCAATAAGGGTTCACCAATGGCCTGCCACATTGCTACATCCCACAACCAGACAGTCTTATCTTCCGAGCTAGACACGATGCATGTCCCATCCAGCGAGAATGAAACTGAGGTAACTGGTTTGGTGTGCCCGAGCAAGGGCTTGCCTACTGGCTGCCCCGTTGCTGCATCCCACAACCGCACAGTGCAATCATACGATCCAGTCGCAATGCAAGTCCCATCCGGCGAGAACGAGACTGAGTTAACACCACCAGTGTGTCCGCTGATCACAGTCAGAACAGCCGTCCAGTTGATATCACGTCTGAATGCTACACGAAGAGAGTTCGGAAACCATGCAGAAAACATTTTGGATAGTGCAGAGTTGAGGGGAGAGAATGGAAGTGCTGATACATAGAGATGAGGTGTGCTGTGCAAGATAATGCCGCTGAAGACTTGAATGAATCTCTGCACGTCCATTGCAGCAGACGAGGCATTTTCATATCCGGTGTGACCCTGTAATTGCGGTTGCGCGTTAGTGAGCATGTTATCTGATGCTCAATAATTGTGTGCTCACCTTCAACCACTTGGAAATGAGCGGAAGGGCAGGGACTGCGCCACTGAGCGCATTGATCAGGCAGAGTACTTCGAGCCAGAAGAACATTCATTCATGGTCGAAGAATGATTTTATTTCTGTGCCGAGTTCTGGATTGAAGTCAGTGGCTTGTACGTGTGAAAGCCAGAATCGACAGGCATAGGATAGATGTGGGGGGATGCGCTTTGCAACTCGTTCTCGCAGACCGGGATCTTCTGAGTTGGGGAGATAGGATGATTTTAAGTCGCAGATATTGAAGGAAAGTTCATCTTTCATCGCTCCAAGTGATGCGAAAGCGAGGTTTTGTTGAACCTCCGGCACATCGACGAAGAACTCTCCACTGTGTGATTGGTCTGTCAGGAAGTCGCAGAAGGATGCGTGAAGGGGTCGGATTGGGGTGGATGGGTCGGTGGTGCCGCTAAGGAGGGATCCCATGTGTTCTACTATGACCTCTACTTTGTAACGCTTGCTTTGATGCGGAAAGTGACTTCGCATGCCATTCAAGGAATTCAAAGGGAGGGGTTTGGCTGTGCCAAGGATTTGTCCCATGACGGAACGAAACACCGCTAGCTGTGTTTGCTGAGACTTGAGGCTTGTGTGTCTATCCTTTGGCATCATCTGCGTCAGAATTAAGTCGTACATATCATACAACAGGTGCTCCCATTTGACAGGATCGCACGACACCATGACATCAAATGACTGATCGGAAGATAAGCCAGGAGGAGGTGCTTCGATGGATTCGCAAGCAAGACGTGCCCACTCAAAAAGACCATCAGCTTTCTTGGCAAGTGCTGTGAACTCTTTGCTCCCAAAATGCAAAAGCCCTTCCAGCTTCTTCGACACGTAAGCATGGATATCGTGTTCCGCGACTTCTGGTAGAATGTCGTCCATGGAAATCCTTTTGATGTGTTGAGCGCCCTCAAATGCATTCCGAATATCGCGGAGCGGGCGAGAGGTGACGATAAACCAAAAGTTCTTTGGGAGTTCCATGATTTGAGGAACAGCAGAGTTCTGAAGTTTACCGGAAAGAATGCAAAGAAGGTCGCATCGTGTCTTGGCCGCCCCGCTCTCATCCAGCGCGTCGATCACGACCACAACAGGGCCCACGGTTGATTCTGAGAGCTTCTGTATTGGTTCCATCAGAAGTTTCTCCCATTGCTGGATGATGTCAGCTGTAGTCTTGAGCGCACTGTCATTCTGAACTTTATCTGCCAAGGCTCGCCTCATCCCCCAATCACGATCAGCCAGGTTGCGCGCGATGGTAGAAAATATCTTCTCATGGCGACAGTCGGCTTCTCGATCTTGGTCGAAGCAATAACATGAACCGAGCCCTCCCGCATCACTGAACCACTTAGTGATTGTGTGGGCGATGGCTGATTTGCCCTTGCCTGCAGGGCCAGATAGCCACAACACCTGTTCAACGTCATCTCCAGTGCTGTTCACCCAATCTGTGATTTGGGAGAGTACTTCCGTGTGCATCCCTTGGAGGCATTGTTTCCTGGTATCTAGCCCTGCGTTTGCTGCATAAGTTATACCGCTGAGGTCTAGTAGTTCGCCTGAAGAGAAATGTGTATAGCTGTTGCATCAGGAACAGGTACAATACTCACCTGTACAGTGGGTGTAAATGGCTACGTCCCGAGCAACTCGGTCCTGGAAGCTTTGCATGAGGGCATCCAACGCATTGCTGTACCGTTGAATTTCATTATTTGTTTCGGTGAGAATGTCTTTCCTGAGTCTCTCCCCTGTTATAATGGTAGGATATTGAGCACGTAGAACGTGCGACAACTTGAAGACTCACAGAAGCTCTTGGTCTCTGCATAATCTCTAATGAAGCGAGCACATTCAAGGGTCTGCTGAGAGATCTGTCCAAGGATATCGCGCATCGATGAAATCTGGCCAAGCGTCTCGTCCTGGATCATGAAGTCATTCCAACTTGTCGACAAGACAATGGACTGCTTGATCACAGTCCGATTGAGCGATGACCATCTACCCCGATGACTCCTGAGTGCGTGATGAAAACGAGAGAGGAACCAAACATACTTTTGAAGCACAAGATAAGACGCCTAGTGCAATCTTTGCATATGGATGTACCTGCAGAACGAAGTTAGTGCAATTCCAACCAACAGGATTGGGCCCATACATCTGCGAGCTTCCCGATAATATTGTCGAATGTCCTGAGGGGTTGAAGATATGTGTCCTGGAAACTATATGCGTCCTCAAGATCCCCTGGTGCATTTTGGGCGGTGGATGCCCCAGATTCTACAGGCCCTGAAAGTAGATTCATGCCTTTGACAGCTTTTTTGGCATCTAGAAGTGCCGATTGGGGATCACCGCCTTGTTTCACATCAGATGAAGTATTCTGAACCATGCGACCATCAGAAGTTGAGATAGAACGCAGAAACTGAAAGGTGACTTACCTCAGGCTTGATATTCGGAGTTGACAAAGCGCCTGTGTGATCAACGTTTGGGAGAACAGGCTCGCTGCTGTGCAAATTCTTCATGTTCGAGCGCTTGTGTATGATCTCAGCCTGATTCCATGCAATTAGGTTTCTCAACTTACAGAAATCTTCTTTGTTACACCATCCTTGACCTTCTTCAGAAACCGACAAAATTTGTGTGGCCATTGGGCCTGGTGCATCAGAGTCAATATTCGAGAGTGCGATGGACAAGTGATGTATAGAGCGACGTACCGAGCTTCCTCGAACGACTGATGTAGTGTCTGGAGGAACTGAACTCGAGTCCGTTGATTGATTGGTGTTGGTCATGGTGAATAGTCAAGGGTTAGTGTGAGCGAAGTAGGCGTTGAACGAGAAGAGTGGGTAGAAACATCGCTTAAATATGATAGCAGGGCACACCCTTGGCTGCAAGCCTCGAGGCAACACTTATTTGCTGCTGTATTGACCCCCGAAGCCCTAAGCATGACCAGCAGGCTGCTTGGGGCAGGCACTATCATGATGTAACTCCGTGAAATGCCAGGAAGTCGAAGGAATGAATCGGACTATCTTCATTCACAAGTCACCATTAATATTGTCTAGTATGGACAGTCGAGGTCAGTGATTTAGTTACTCAGTTACTTACTTGGTAAGGATGTTCGAAGCTCGGAGTTACCCGAAAAGTTCAGATGGGTTCATTTGTCACTCTAAATTTAAACTGAGTCAGGACACGCCAGCCTCGACCTGATTTCTGGATCAAATGATCGTGTATCGACCCCAGGAGGCAGTGTTCCAGTAATACGAGAGCTTCAAGCCGTCTACTTGAAGTCGTAACTGACCATGCTAACCCTCAGGCCTCAGCGCTCAGCACACACCATCAAACTGCGATGCAAGGCAGTGCAACACATCTCGCACGAGACAACATCAGGAAGGCCTGTGCCAAATGCGTAAGCGGGCACTAGGCATAGAGGTAAGCGGCGAGGGCAGAAGAATGGAGCAGTCAATATGAAGGAGGATGACAAAATGGCAAAACCAAGGGTCATGGTAAGTCGCACCCAATATTATTTTCCTTGATGAAATGTCGTCTTTCATATTACTTTTAGCTTCCGAGACGCTCGTCCATTTCATTTCTGGCATGTGTTCTTGGAGTTTCGCATCTTCCACACCTCAGGCCACAAGCTTCAAGTCTTGATATCCTTGCACCCATCATTAAATTATGACACGTTACCATACACATGTTGAACTGTACGCAATGAAACACGTTCCTTTCCATTGACCCAGTCCTCTCAACGTTTTAAACTGTGTGCGGTGTGCATCCAAAGCCAAACGACCATCCAAAACTTCAATCGACGCACACTGCTGCGCAATCCTTCTTCGGTTTCTTCAATCCACTCTGGGAGGTGCCTTGAACACGCACTTCTGTCCATTTGTTTTGTTTGGCACATCTCTGATCACACTCATAATCGTTCTATGCTCTCGAAAATCTGTTACTCAGTCACAACCTTTTTGACGCGCACATCGTTCACTCAAACTACCCCAAGTCAAATATAATGCTATGTATCTAATACACAATGAATCAACTGTACATACCATATTGCACTCGACAAAGTATCTCTGACACCTCCAGAATTCAATTGACTGGGACGACACTATTGTAATGAAGAACTATAAGTATCAGATTAATTAACTGCGAGGAACGGAAAAAACTGGAGACTCACTCCTTGTAGCAGTCCTGCCAGCGTGTGCCATGTGACATGCAGCTCAAGTCAAGCTCAACATCACCTCTGGGTATCACTGATGCAGTCTGAGGATTATATCTAAATGTTTTTCGAGAAGCGGGTGGTACCCAGAATAAGAGCCAACGGCTGGGTCCCACCATCCATCCATCTTCTCAGAGTAAATTGAACGTCGACTTGTGGTCATTATGGGGGGCATCTGCAAGTAGCTCAGCAGTGTCGCGCAGCGCATGAATCGGGTTTGATGAGTAGGAAATGAAGTGATCATTCACAGTGTTGGGTGGGGGGACGGCCAGTGTTGGACATGGAATGCAACTGCCGTGTGAGGAGGATGGTGAACAGTCTTCTTTAGCATGGACCTGTAATGACTTCCCAATTGCTGCATACCACACTCGGACAGTGCCATCCGATGAAGAAGAAATAATGTGAGTCCCATCCCGCAAGAATGAGACTGAGTTGACCGCCGCAGTGTGCCCCCGTAAGGGTTCACCAACTGGCTGCCCTATTGCGAGATCCCACAGCCAGACAGTTTGATCATCTGAACTAGAAATGATGCATGTCCCATCTGGTGAGAACAAGACTGAATTGACACGGCTAGTGTGCCCCTCCAAGAGCTCTCCAATATGCTTCCCTGTTACTGCATCCCACAGCCAGACAGTCTTATTAGAACCAGTCGCAATGCGAGTTCCGTCCGGCAAGAACAAGACCGACATAACCTGATCAGTGTGCCCGAGGAAAGGCTCACCCACTAACTGCCCTGTCCCTGCGTCCCATAACCAGACAGTCTTATCTGCAGAACCAGTCGCGATGTGAGTTCCATCCAGCGAGAATGAGACTGACCAAACCCAATCAGTGTGCCCCTGCAAGGGCTGACCAACAGGCTTCCCCATTCCTGCATCTGTTACGCACTCAAATAGATCTGTTATGCGGAGCCCTAAGAGGGGTGTTGTGTTCATGACGTAACCGGAAGGATCCGGTATGGCAAGTGAAGCTGGCGACGACGAGTCGGCAGTGATCACAGTACGCGCGTGTCACGTGACTTCTAAGATGGATGTCTTTAGAAGTCGCTCAAGGTAAGGACTGTCTTGTCCGAACGATGAGGTCGATCGAGGTAGACTTAGTTGCGATGAGCAACTAAGAAAAGATACTAGAGACTGAAGCCAAAGGGGCATTCAGAGGGAAGTATGTTCCAGGGAAGATTGAGTAGATTCAAGTTAGAGAATCTAATACAGGGTGACCGACTACTTATACTAAGTGGAGAGGGTTAAGGGCAAGGCTACCGCACAGTAGGTAAGGGTAAAGGGGAAATGAGAATGGTATAGGTGCGTTGGCAACAGAGCCGGATTAGTGGTGGATGGTCGAATGTGGAATGAGACCGAGAAACGTTGGAACGGACCAACGGTAAGAATACAACGTGCAGGAATCTGCAGTCAGAAGGAACAGAAAAGGAAAGCCACATTGGTGGCACGAGTCAGACCGAGTCATAGGTGCAGGACCACATTGGTGGTCGAATCATTGGAGGAACGTGCGTGCACGTGCATAGAGGCGGGCGATGCGAGGGACGGGGACAGTCCTGAGGATCCGGTCAACGGAAAGTCGGTAAAGGAGGACGAGCCGGTAGATGGTGAGGGCGAGGACGAAGGGAAAATGATAGGGGGGCAGCATGACCGATGTTACTTGTAACAGCATCCCACAGCCGGACTGTTGTATCGTCCGAACCAGAAATGATACATGTCCTGTCCGGAGAGAATGAGACTGAGTTGACCTCACCAGTGTGCCCACAGAAAGGCTCACCCACTAACCGGCCCATCCCTGCGTCTCACAGCTGGACAGTCTTATCTGCGGAACCAGTCGCAATGCAAGTCCCATCCAGAGAGAACGAGACTGAGTTGACATGATCAGTGTGCCCCAACAAGGGCTCACCAACTGGACGACCTGTGACTGCATCCAACAGCCGGACAGTACCATCCAGAGAACCTGTTGTGAAGTGGGTCCCATCCGGCGATAGCGAGACTGAGATAATGGAATTGGAATTGGTGGGTTCACCGACTGGCTTCCCTGTAGATGCGTCCCACAGTTGGACAGTGTTATCTGAAGAACCGGTCGTGATGCGAGTCCCATCCAGAGAGAATGAGACTGAGCAGACCCAACTAGTGTGCCCCAGTAAGGGCTCACCCACCGGCTTCCCTGTTGCTGGATCCCACAACCGGACAGTATTATCGGACGAACCTGTCACGATGCGACTTCCGTCTGGCGAGAACGAAACCGACCCCACCCGGCCAGTATGCCCCTCCATGGGCTCACCAACAGGCTTCCCTGTCGCCACATTCCACAGCTGGACAGTCTCATCGGTCAAACCAGAGACGATTTGAGTCCCATCCAGAGAGAATGAGACTGACATAACCCAACCAGTGTGCCCCAGAAAGGGCTCACCGACAGGCTTCCCCGTTCCTGCATCCCACAGCCAGACAGATCAATTGAACGAACCAGAAACGATGAGTGTCCCATCAAGAGAAAACAAGACTGAATTGACCGGACCAGTGTGCCCTTCCAAGGGCTCACCAACTGGCTGCCGCGTTGCTGCATCCCATAGCCGGAGAGTCTCATCATATGAACCTGAAACGATACGAGTTCTGTTCGGTGAGAACGCAACCAAGTTAACCAATTCAGTATGCCCCAATAAGGGTTCACCAATGGCCTGCCACGTTGCTACATCCCACAACTGAACGGTCTTGTCATACAAGCCAGACATGATGCGTGTCCCATCCCGCGAGAATGAAACCAAGGTAACTGACTTAGTGTGCCCCCGCAAGGGCTTGCCTACTGGCTGCCCCATTGCTGCATCCCACAACCGCACAGTGCAACCCCTCGATGCAGTCGCAATGTGAGTCCCATCCAGCGAGAACAAGACTGAGTAAACTTCAGTGTGTCCTCTGATCACAGTCTGAACAACCGTCCAGTTGATATCACGTCCAGATGCTACACGAAAAGAGTTCAGAAACCGTGCAGAAAACGTTTTGGACAGTGCAAAGTTGAGGGGAGAGATTGGAAGTGCTGATACATAGAGATGAGGTGTGCTGTGCAAGATCATGCCGCCGAAGACTTGAATGAATCTCTGCATGTCCATTGCAGCGGATGAGGCATCTTCATATCCGGTGTGACCCTGTAATTGCGATGACACGTTAGTGAGCATGTTATCTGATGCTTGATAATCGTGTGCTCACCTTCAACCACTTGGCAATGAGAGGAAGGGCAGGGACTGCACCGCTGAGCGCATTGATGAGGCAGAGTACTTCGAGCCAGAAGAACAGTCGCTCGTGGTCAAAGAATGATTTTATTTCTGTGGCAAGTTCTGAATCGAACTTAGTGGCTTGTACGTGTGAAAGCCAGAATCGACAGGCATAGGATAGATGTGAGGGGATGCGCTTTTCAACTCGGTCTTGCAGACTGGGATCTTCGGAGTTGAGGAGATAGGATGATTTTAAATCGCAGAGATTGAAGGAGAGTTCATCTTTCATCACTCCAAGTGATGCGAAAGCAAGGTCTCATTGAATCTTCGGCACGTCCACGAAGAACTCTTTACTGTGTGATTGGTCTGTCAGGAAATCGCGGAAGGATGCATGAAGGGGTCGGATTGGGGTGGAAGGGTTGGTGGTGCCGCTGAGGAGGGATCCCATGTGTTCTATGATGTCCTTCATTTCGTAAGGCTTGCTTTCATCTTGAAAATTGTTTCGCATGGCATTCAGGGAATTCAAAGGGAGGGGTTCGGCTGTGCAAAGAATTTGTCCCATCACGGAACGAAACTTCGCTAGCTGTGTTTTCCGAAACTCGGGGTCTGCTTCTTCATCCTTTGGTATGATCTGCTTCAGAATTAAGCGATACATATCATACAATACGTGCTCCCGTTTGACACCATTGCGAGACACCGTGTCATTGAAGAACTGAACGGAAGATGAACCAAAGCGAGGTTCTTTGATGTATTTTCAAGCAAGACGTGCCCACTCGAAAAGACCATCAGCTTTCTTGGCCAGTGCTGTAAACTTTTTGCTCCCAAAATCCGGAAGCCCTTCTAATTCCTGGGATATGTAGGTGCAGATATCGCCTTCAGCCACTTCTAGTGGAATGTCGTCCATAGACTTTCTTCGAATGTGTTGAACGCCTGCAAACGAATTCTGAATGTCGCGAAGCGGGCGGGAGGTGACTATGATCCGGAAGTTCTTTGGGAGTTTCGTGATATGCGTGATGGTTGGGTCTCGAAGTTTACCGGAAAGAATGTCAAGAAGGTCACTACGTGTCTCCACTGCCTCGCCACTTTCGTCCAGTGCGTCGATAACGATCACGACGGGCCCCACGGGTGACTCAGAAAGCTTCCCTAACGGTTCTATAAGAAGTTTCTGCCACTGCTGTACGACGTCCGGTGTAGTCTTGAGCGCAGTTTGATTCTTGACTGCATGCGCTAACGCTCGTCTCATCTCCGGATGACGGTCAGCCAGGTCTCGCGCGATAGTGGAAAAAACCTTTTTGTGGCCATCCTCCGTGTTTCTGTCGAAGCAGTAACAAGCACCAAGACCGCCCACCCCGGTGAACGAGCTGGCGATCGTGTGAGCAATGGCTGATTTGCCCGTTCCGGCAGGTCCGGATAGCCATAGCACACGTTCAGCATCTTCCCTGCTGTCGTTGATCCACCCCATGATGTCGGAGAGAATGTCAGTGCGCGTCTCTTGCAGGCATCGCTTCCTAGTATCTAGTCCTGCGGCCTTCGCATAAGCCATATCACTGAATTCGAGTATTTCGCCTGTAGAAGTATGAATGGCTGTCGAGTCAGAAAAAAAAACAATCCTTACTTGTATGGTGAATGTAGATCGCTACGTCGTGAGTGACTTGGTCGCGGAAGTTTTGTATGAGCGCATCCAACACATTGTTGTACTGTTGTATGGTATTGTCTGTTTTCAAGATAATGTTCTTTCCGAGTCTCTTCCCTATGATACGATTGAGAATCTGCAAAGTGTAACGACTCGTTGGAGACTCACAATAGCTTTTCTGCTCTGAATAATCCCTGATGAAATTGGCGCATTCTAGGGTCTGCCGAGAGATCTGTCCCAAGATGTCCCTCATTGACGAAATCTTGACAAGCGTGTCGCCTTGCGTGATGAAGCGATACACTTGAGCCAACTTCTTGTAGAGGTCGCGTACCGCATCGTCACGATCCGCTTGAGCAAGAATTATCTGCGTACAGAACAAGTGAGCAGGAAATACGAATAACGGCAAGAAAACGTACTTTTGATGCGCATGAAAGCACACCCAATGCCATCTTTGCATACGGATGCACCTGTAGAACGGTGTTAGTCTAGTTCTAAAGAGGAAGAGAGAGAACATACCCCTGCTATCGTCCCGATCACGGTGTCGAATGTCCTGAGGGGTTGAAGATAAGTGGTCTCTATACTGTCTACATCATCGAGTGCCGCTGGTCCATTTTCGCCTGCGGACAATACGGGTCTCGCATGTCCCCAAATTTGGTTCATCTGATCTGCACCGTGACCGGCATCCTGAAGTGCCTTGTTCACAGATTGGGAATCGGCGCCCTGTTGTACAACAGCAGAAGTATCCTGAGCCCGGTATAGTCAGTAGAAGTACAGAGAGCAGACATCGAAATGTCACCTACCTGAACGGGGTCGCGGGTGCGCAAATTCTTCGAGCGCTTGTTTATGATCTCAGCCAGATCCCAATACAACTCGGTTGCTCGACTTACAGGAATATGCTTCGTGACACCATCCTTGACCTTGCTCAGAAACCGACGAACTTTGTTTGGCGGTTGGACCTGGACAAATGGGACATCAGAGTCGGTGTTTGAGAGTGTGATGCACATGAGCGACGTACCGAGCTGAGTCCGGGAGCGACTGATGTGGTGTCTGGAGGAACTGGGCTCGAGTCCGTTAATTGATTGCTGTTGCTCATGGCGAGTAATTAAAGATCAGTGTGGGCGAAGTAGGCGTTGAACAAAAAGAGTGGGTAGCAACGTCGTTTAATAGATATCAGGCCATACCCTTGACCGCAAGGCTCGAGGCAATGCTTATTTGCTACTGTGTTGACTAGCGCTAAGCATTGGGCAGGCTTGAAGCAGGCGCTAAGTAACTCCAGGAAATGCCAGGAAGTTGAAGGAACGACTGTATATTCATTCGTTTACCGTTTGTATATGAACGTTTGAACGGTCAAAGTCAGTGATTTAGTGAGGACGTTCAACTAGTGCTGGGTTTTCAATTTTCAAATCTGTGTTCGACGGAGTTGCCCGAAACATTCGATCGATCATTTATATGATCTCAGATCTGACACAGCTTCCATCTAAACCACCGCTTAACCTTTTACCGGAACCCTCATGGGGACTGGCGCGATTCGTGTTTCAAATACCATTTTTCATCCTATGCGTCCTCCAAACTGAGTCAAGACCCACCAGCCTCGATCAAGAGCAGGAGATTCGAATTCGTGGTGCTGCTAGTATGGGAGCAGTGAAATATTATTATTGAGAGCTCTCACAAGCCATTGACTGACTTAATTTGTTCGATCCAAGGCAACTTATATCATACATTATCACGCGGGGAGGCTTCGTACTTGGTTTTGAGGTGCGTCGTTTTGGAAGGGCGTTTGTCTTAAATAATACTGAGTCACGGATAGCTAGGCGACGTTGCAACGTCGGCCTCCGATCCAATTTTAATCTTTCCACCATCATATGCATCTCCTCCTGATCCTCCTGGATGTTTGTCTACGTTTAGTTCGTTCATTTCTTCTCACTATATAAACATGCAAATAACCCGACAACGTATCCAGGCTTTGTCTATCCACCCCCTCATCCAAGTCACCTTGCATCCGACAGACCTTTGGTACAAGTGCGATCCACCTGGTCCGAGTACCACTGGAAGGCCCTTGTACTGCAGTCATTCGCATCAGACGCACCACGGCCTTGTCTGTGAGTTTCAATGATGTGTATCTTCATGTATAGCACCGCTCCATCCATGCTCTTCATTGCCTTCGCCTTTATATCTGCCTCGAGAGGCTCTGCTTCTACAGATCTATTTGGACGTCGTTGAGTTGTTCATCGCTTGACTGTTCTAGCGAACTCACTTTATAATAGCCTACTATCACCGGTTTTCACGTCTATCCGTCTCTCACTCGGGATGCCGCTATCGTACTCTCGAGGTGATGGGATGAAGAACGAAGGAAACATTGACAAGAAATCAACTCGCTTGTGGACCATTTGATGTTTCAAAACACATCAAGATCAGATTTGGTGTCAATCTGACCTTGGTGCGTTTTGAAGCATTGACTGAGTCGGCCAGAGCGCAGACATAATCCTCGACATTAATTTCAAAAGTGAAAGGGAGCGCTGTGGCTCACAAACTTTATGCCTATCTATCGCGGTGACTCATGCTGACCCAGCCACGGCCGCTTTCGATGACCGACCTGTCCGTCGTGTCCGAGTTCCCTTTCGAGCTGCCGTTGCTATATGATACTGACGAGGTGAGTAGGTTGGTACTATTGTGCTCATGTGCGTTCATAAGCTATTGCAGGACTGCTGTCGCAGCCACATTTCGATCATCGGAACTGTTCGTTGTTCACTCATTCATGTGGCAGCCTTTCAGTAAATCGAGCGTTGCTCGTGTGGTATGTAGGTGGAACAGCGACCTGTCAAGTAATTATTAGGTTTGAACTTGACCGAGTCGTACTTGTATTTCCGATTTCAACAATGATTGACGAAGTTTAAGAAAGTCACCATACCCTACTAGTACTACAGCGATGTAATGAAACTACATACCTACATGTGGAATAAACTTGGTCCAACCTACTGTATCGTATACACCCTGAGGTAGCGATCGTAAGCTCAGCATGGTAAGTGTAATCACTGTAAGACGTGCAAAGACGTATATCGTGCCAAGAAATCCAATAATCTTCATGAGATTAACTGAAAGGAAATATAGGGCTTTACCCGATAATCCATTGTACTCCGATGGCTGCGCGTCCAAATACCAGAGGGACCACATCGTTAACGACAAACATGCTTTCCCAACGAAAGCTGTATGCCACACTATCCGCTCCGCGTGGCTCGGAAACGCAAAATTCCAGCCCAGGGCATGCATCGCTGCAACCATCACCCCACTGACACCTCCAGCGATGAATATGGTCACACTCCGAGCTGAGTTATTAGATCGTCGAACCTTGCGATTAAAGAGTATAGACAGAAGCATTGGGGTACGTCGTTTGCTAGAATACAGGCCAATAAGAACAAGTTCCGCAAGGAATAGTGATGATAATGTACTCATTGGCTAAGCATTCGCGTGGCGGGGGAGCAGTCGAGTTCCAATGAACAATATGAGGACGCTGTACGTCCTTCGGCTTCCGCCACCATAGTAAGCCATAGGTAGCGATGGTCAGACAAACTACAGCCAGAGTGTCGACTTCAAGCAATGTGGTGGAGAGGTGCTGGGCGTAACGGGCGATGATCTGGATGAGGAACCATCCCAGCTGAAGAATGGTGATACATCTGGATAGCACGTCACCCTTACTTCGGTCTTCTATGTCTGCCTTCGTGATGACGGGCATCTCCACAGATCCCTCGCGAACAAACTGGAGGAGTTCATCGGGTGTGAGAGTGGCCCACGGTTTACCATTGAAGTAGAGCAGGAATCCACCCATCCCGGCGAAGAACCCATGTGTCTCTGTCCACCCTGTCAAGGCATCAATTTCATGTTAATTTCTGTCTGACTGAAGAGTCCGAGTAACAGACCTGCACTTGAACTTTCGTTTGAATTTGAGATGGCACCAGGTGACACAACTGCCGGGCTGCTCTGCGGTGCGGCTTCACAGTCACCGTTGGGCTGGGCGCGTTGTGCAAAAAGAATATCATTGAAGTCCTTGGCAACTTTACGAGCACATATAAGTTGCCATGCGGCCCAGGCGGCCATGAGTTCGGGGGCGAAATACGCAACAAACATGAGGACTAGACGGCGAACCATGATGACAACTACCCCCTCACCCAGACGCGGAATGTCCGGAGGGACGGCAGTCCATGTGCATGCAAACAAGGTTAAGCTACAGCTCGACATAATGACCCACAAGGTTCTAGCATCAGGGGAGGGTTGCCAGTTACTGGAAAAGAGTGGAAGGATACAGGTATCGTTGAGACCCGAGAGTGAAACCGGTGAAGCGCGAACAAACGGAACGCCGAAGAGGACAGCGCAAAGTAGGAGGATCATCATCATAAAGTTGAGGGCACATCGTCTGATCATTCTCTCTTTTGATGGGTGCAGCCACGTTCTATGGATCTATCCATAATGGGGCTGGTTCATGCGTTAATTCGTTAAACGTAACGGCGACGCGAGTTGGGCGCTGGACCACGCAAGATGAGCGCTGAAGCATGGTGATGCCGTTCGACCTCTGCCTCGCGTAACAGGCATGATGATGGGCTCCTTGGGGTCTTGCACAGGTAGTAATTTGATGTGGTATTTTGTAAGCCACATGCTTATTGTTAACGTTATTGCTCGGACAGTACTAGCGGTTTTTTAAAGTTTGGAGAAACTTTGCACATGCCACATATAGTATACACTGCACAATTGCGAAGTCCCATCACCCTTCACAACAAGCGGTGACGATCGATGAGTGACCTGTTATCACTCCGAGATTGTTAACGTTCAGCGCTCAGCGCTCAAGCGCTCAGCTCCCACAGCAAGGTACGTCAGTGAAGACCTCGCTCACCGCATGGACCGTACATAATAAGTCCATTGATATTTTCGCTCTTTTTCTTGTAAATGAGGTACAGAGCATTGTAGCTGCACTCCCTCTGATATTGGTAGTATATATATTAGTTCAGTATGTCTATCCTAGCTATTATTTGTTGCGCAAGTCTACTGTACAGGGAGGAGCAGAGTGAGGCTTGGGCTGGCCAGACAATGTTAATATTTTGAGCGGTAGTGACAATCTTATGGTGATAAAATCAATATGTACAGTCTCCGAGTCAGCCAATTAAATTCATTTGTCATTTATTCGAAGAACATAGGGCTACTTGGAGGATATCTGAGTTGAGTATTTTCCAGAGGTACTACCTACTAATTATCAGACCTGACAAAGTTTCTGAGGTCTTTTTACGTTACACTGCTGGTACCTTGTTTTCGCCACAGCTTGGCAGCCGAACGGTGGCTTCGGAAGCATGTGGTAACGGGTCACTACACACTGGTAAACAGCTCTGTTATCGCTCGGACAGTACTCGGTTTTTTAAAGTTTCTCCAAACCCTGCACATGCCACATACACACAATTGTGAAGTCCGATCACCTTCTCACAACGAAAAGATCCCAGACTCTACCCGACATGTTCGCTTCAGTTTAGTGTTGCAGCCGGCCTCAACATCCTCACTCCTCGTATGTTTCCCTTCCTTTGCTCTGAATCCTTTGTCGGCTCGATCTTCTCTTCAGGTCTTTCTCGCATTTTTAGCGTACTAGCTCTCCTGTGTTAATACTTTGTAACCTAATTTTATAAAGGCTGATATATTTATGGCTAGGATTCGGAATATTTGTTTGTATGAAAACCACACCAGCCGTTTACATCGAACCCAGGTATTTTGCTGCATCACTAACGCATCACTGACGCACCACACCGAAACATACATTCAACGCTCATTTCCGATAAGTACTGTGATCATACACAAGATAATAATTTGACCTCACAGTGTTACTCGTCGAACTCATCAACTATGCGCCTCTCGGACATGGCTTTGAGAGGCTGAATTTAGAGGACGTGTTGGGCGTGTTGCGGCTCGGATGCGGTAGTGGGTGCGGCAGCAGTGAGTCCCAATAATATACCGTGCATATTGCACGAGACAATGACATTCAATTATTCAGACTGTATGAATAGCACATTCCATGCTAAAAGTGCTTTCCTTGATGCGCGAGGCACCTGAACGCGTGATTGTTAGTCCATATATAGTATGATGAAGGTGCACACATTTCTCCTTTGTCAGACCGCTGAGAGCCCACTCGTCAAACTCGGGAGGAGCGTCTACGGCAGTCGCATTTGCATTCTCGACGAATGCCTCACTGATGATGTTCATGGCGAATCTTTGGCCGTTCTTCAAGTTGCCATCGACCCCGGAAGGTAGTGTTCTACGAGAGCTTTAAGCCGAGTACTTGAAGTCGTAACTAACCTCACAAGGACATCATTCAACAAGAGCAGGACATATTCGAATTTATGGTGCTGCTAGTGTGCGAGGGAAATGCGAGTGGTAAGTAATATTATTGAGAGCTCTCGCAAGTCGTCTAAACAGCTTCAAGGTCAACTGTCTAGTAGCTGTATCATACGGTGTTCACTCTCAAAACTCGATGACTTCAAATTGATCCATCTTATCCTGGATAAACAATGAGTACGTCGCACTTCATCAGAAGATAAGAGAATCCTACGATATCAAAATGGTTCTTCAACAAATAAAGTTTATCTCTATCGAGCCACATCTCAACGAACTCGCCATGACTAAACGTTCTGTGAGACACGACCTCGACATACGGCATGGATGTCGTGATGCATTCATCCGTCTTGACGTTTTCTACGTTAGATGGCTTGTTCACCATTCTTCCTAGGCCTTGCTCGTGGTGGCGCTTCACAGCCGACGGACTGAAGTCCATGAGATGTATCCTGTACTCTGTCACGATCAAGCCATCATTCAATTCTACGCCGGACGCGAATGCATACAAAGCTCGACTCCCGCTAACGCTAAGTTTGCATGAAAATCGGTGCGGGACAACATGGGCATTTGAAGGACCCCAAGACTCCCATGGTATTTTCGTTCTTTCCGAGTTAACGAAGTCAGGCTCGAAAAAAATCCTAGTGGAAATGATGAAGTAAAGTTCTGAATTCCATGTGACAAGAGAGATCAGTCGATGTTTAGGATCCGAGACCCATGTTGCTTGTGAGGGTTGTGAATTACTTGCGATATCATCTGTCGGAGTCAAGCATCGTAGGTTCACCACTGACGCGGGCAACAAGAAGCAAGCCAGCAATCGCGGTTGATGAGACATGTCCTCGATTGAATAGAGCTTTAAATCGTCGTTGACAACCAAAAATCTGTCGTTTCCGAGGAAGCAAATGTCGATCTCGTTGAAATCTGGATCTACTATTGGGCCGCTGAGGATGCACTAAATCGAGTATCAGCCGTCAAGCATATCAACTAATTCTGATCAAGGCTCACCTTCGACGTTGTCGAGTGTTGCCAGTCCCAAATATGCAACCACCATCTCGACGTAAATGAAGGGATACACAGCTGATCATCAAACAGTCGTAAAGCGACATGCCTCCCAAATCCTTCGATTTTCGTACTCTTCGTAACAAAGTTCTTGCGTTTTGGCAAGTCAGAGAGAAACAGAGTCCGTCCAGCAGCTTGAGGGTGGGTACAGTCTCCGTCCAGGGCTACAAGGTCAATATAGTAAGCCTCATCGTACACCAGGCCACCATCTCTAACAACCGTGGCGTAAACGATGGCGAGGAGGTTTTGCACTGGGTCCATCAAAACATTCAAAACGTCGAAGTCGCTTTGTCTCTGTTTGGGAATTGAGCAAAGCGAATCTGGAGAGAAATCACGCTCGATAGTTTGTTGCAAGGGCTTGGGTACTATCGGAAAGATGCTGCCCGAGTGCATAGTTGGCTTCCAGAAGCAGGCATGTCCATTGACGACGGACACCTTCGTTCGTCTACGGAATTGTAGTGGGATAGAGATTGATTCAGAAGAGTGAACGTCAAACGTGGACCATGCGCGGGCTTTGTCCCTCAGGAGTTGTAGGCGCTCTGAAACAGGAAGAGAACCATTGAAGACAGGGAGCAGTTGTTGGCCACCCAGTTCGGTGATATACTGAAGCTCGGAGGACGACGTATACATCCGGCGAAGGGCCTTGCAAAGCTGCCAGGCGATCATCAGTACTAGAGTAACACCGACCAGTGATTTGATAGTAGCTTACGGATGTACAGCGTATAATGTCTTGCCAAGGAAGAAAGCTTAGAATATGCAATATTAGTTCTGAAGGAAGAGACAGTAACGTTGCTTTGGGCTTCATTCTTTCTCAGCTTGGTCTACCGTTTATATAATACGCTGAGACTTGATGTCAGCATTATCAGCGATTGTAAAATGAAGAACTGACCAGAGTTTGTCTTGTCAACACCGAGCACGATTGCGAGGAATAGTCTGACTTAGCTGAATAACGTGTACGTAGTGGGGTGTCGAAACCACTCAGGCTGTTTTGCTTACTGCTTAAATGCTTTCAGATGCGACTAAGAAACGGACGGACAAAGACATCGTGGCAGAAAGAATTGTAGCAGTGCCATGAAGTAGTCAAAGGAACGACAAGGTAGCTCTATCGATTTGAGGTTGTGAGGACGTCCTAAACAATGAAGACTTAGTTAGTAACTGACTGCAACTGTTACCGCTACAAAAAGGAGGTACCTTAAACTCGGCTCGCAATGGTAGTATGCCGTACGTACAAAGTCTATTCTTTGACGACGAAATCAAAGTACACAATTCATTGATGATCTTAGTTAACTCTTGAAAGCTTGCTGACCGCTACGTCATATATTTCGTACAACTGCGCATAAGTGATCACCTTCAGTTCCTGCGAGCCACTCTCCCATTGCATCTTCTGATCATTTCCCGCTCTACCTTCATTGCTAGGAAAGTTAGAGAACCGCTGGATTCAAAAGCCTCCAACAGCCACAAATTAGCTGCGCCGTTGGCAAGTCCAGGACATCTGAAAGATATACAGAGGGATTGCTTTCATCGAGAAAGCAGGACTGTCCTTGTCGCATTAGCAGAATAGTATGGCCGCCGAACAAAGTACCGTAAAGTTCTTGGGTCTGAGATTCTTTGCTTGGATTCTGGTGCCAGAGTCGGCACTCCAGAGCACGTTTCATGACTGAATAGAAAAGGACAAGAATGAATGACTCCAGGTCATTGTGCACCCCGCGTTTTTGAGCCGGTCGAATTTTCTTCTTGTCCGGAAGAAGCATCATGGATAGAAGTTCTTCAGCCACAACAAAGCAGTACCCGACGAAACAGTGTCCTCCAGAAAGACACTTTTAGTGTTCAACTGGCCCGCAGCGAGAGAGGGCGGATGCAATAAAACTACGGTTTCAGTCTCTGGAGTCTGGCTGCGCCACCGAGGCAAGTTCGAAATCTGCGACCAGCCTTCAGCACAATCCGGACCACCGAAAATGATATTGCCTGGATTCATATCTCGATGAAGAACACCTTGCTCCGCGAGTATTTGATGTCCTGAAAATGCGATGATTTAGGAAGGTAATCAGCGCGCTAACTGAATGATGACGAACCTCTGAGTGCAGCGAGAGACCCTAAAATGAAATCTTTTGTTGTGTCAGCGTCGCACAAAGGTCGTCCCACAGTCTTCAACGCGAGACGATAGAAGACGGGATCATCGGGAACGCCAGTGTCACGAGAATGAGAAAACGGAGGGTGCCGACCGTAACACGAGTATGGGTCTCCCTTCCTAGAGGAATGTAGACATCATCCCCAAGACTGAGTTCAGCGATGCCTGGTAAAAATAGCTTGATATGTCCATAAGCATTGGATTCGCTTTCCCGAGTTCGCGACCTCCATAAGGTTTTCAAACTTACGACTTCGTTCTTCTTTGACTTGTTCTCAGCCCATACGGCTCGCCACATAGCTGTACCGCGACTTAGTAAAGACAATGAAGACCATATGGGGGGAGGGGGGGGGGGGAGGGGGGGGACCCTCAGTCCTCCACAGACGCGTATAACCAGCTGCACCCATGCAAACTAGGAAGAAGGGATACTCGAGCTGGTAGTATGAATGTCCTTCAAGCAAGGGAGCCGACCTGTCGTGTGTTCGTTTATATCTGCTGTGATATGTTATGATATGAACAAAAGCTAGCCTAAAAAAACGGGTACTCACCAATGGTGAGTATGAATATTTTTCATCGGCGCCGTCCTGTACACTTTGGCGAAATTCAGCCAAATCAAGGCTCGCCCTGATGATCGGTTCTATCGGTTTGATGATGGTGTCGATATTGGTAATGGACCATTTTTTGTAAGCTTTGATGGGTTTGCTTGATCGATATTCGATGTGACCAAAGAAATCCTGTTGATATGTTGTGGGGGAGTGCCCTGGGTGGGTCATGGTGGCACTGAAGTTCTATATGGAACCAGCATAAGGTTTGACCAGAGAACTCATAAAAAAAATCGGTGGTGAAAGACTAGGTTCGAGGTGGGGCACCAGGCGTTTCAGATGCGCTCGACGTGGTTCACGCCATACTAAAATAGTGGCGTCCTTTGTTGAATTTGTATTGAGAGGCATCATAGGATAGGGATCACGTGCATCCGCGCTTTTGATTTCCCACGGCTGTTCAAAGTTCAAACGTTCAACTCCACTGGCATATTGAAAGTCGGTCAGTCAGTGTTATGTGTGTAGTGATTTTCTGTCGTATTTATAGATAACTTGGGCATGTGTACGCCAGGCAACCATCGATAAACCATTTGGCACATCGAGCCGCGAGCGGTAAGTGCAAAGCCGAGGCACGGCCGACCCGGGAACACGTGGTCCCCGAAATAATGGAAGATACCTCCTACTACACCAGCGAACAGGTGGCACACGCATTCAAGTTAATGCATCAACCACTGTATTACAGATATAGTCAGTTGCATTGCATCAAGCATTATGTACACCCGGTGCAGCTATAGTAACAACATGCATGTCATGTTAACCATGGCTACGCATGGATAAGACCCATTCTAGACGGGCACCTAAAAATACAGATAGATAAGGTATCCACAAGGCAGAACGAACATGCAACAGAGAGTGGCTCGCTCCAAAGGAGCCGAAGGGAGAGTGAACGTGAGTGAGTGAGTTAAAAATGATTGTGTATGTGGATAACCGAATCAATGATATCGTGATGCAGCACGCAGTGCCACGAGGTGTCAAACCTTGTTATATGATAACCATGAGGGAGGGGGACGTCAAGCCCACCCTCGCCGGTTCATATTCGCATTTAGTGCGAACGGACAAGTCTCCATTTGTGCGTCCGCTTGTTCCTGCTGTCTCGCTTGACAACACCCTCATTGACGGAACGGCCACTAAGCATGCACTGCCCTGTCACCGTTGGACTTGGGGTGGATGACGCGATAATGGTGGAGGAAGGGCCGTTGGCGAAGGTTGATGTAGTCCCTGCTGAGGAACCCGATACAGAGCCGGTGGAAGAAGGCGCAGCAGAACTTGAGCCGGCGTCCACGAAGCTTGCGACAGGAGGGCCGGGGAACGTGTACTGAATGGGAGGGTTGTAGATCTGCGTGATGATTAGTGCTATGTTTGAAGAAAAAGTAAACGATAAAATAGCTCACGTCTGGTGTTAGGATACCGGGACCGTCATCACTGTAACAACCAGGGAACAAGCACTCCTCGCTCGACGTCGGGCCCTGAGTTTGAGAACCACCGACTTGAAGTTGAATGCACGCAGGGTAAAACTCAGCGCCTCCTGGAGACATTGCAAGTTGGAGGGAGATAATCTCCGAGCGAAGCAAATAATTTCCGGGTGCGAGAGTGCTCGGGATCGTCACGTTCGCAGGAGCTCGAGAATCTGCGGAATACATGAGTACAAGTAAAGCAAAAGTACGAACAGTACTGACTCAAGTTTGCCTGATACCAGGTATTGCCGTCCGCCTCGAGACCAAGTTCAGAGATCTTGAACCACTCGGAGTTCGTCGAGTTGTACGTGGAGCAAGAGCCGTCGCACTTGGTCATGTAGTGCATCAGCGGACCTGTGTTATGCGGCCACTGCGGATTGATTATCACTTGTCAATCTATGGCATCATGTGCGAAGTCACGTACGTTGGATGAGCCATCTGTTCCGCCGACCCATAGAATCTCAAGCTGGGAGCCAGGGTTCGCATTTCCTGCCAGGGAAGCGAACTGAGCGTCTTGCCCGCAGTTGATGTACGGGTTTTCAGCACCCTTAACGGGACTGTTCGTATTCACAAGACGGATGATAGAAGGTGCAGGGGTTTCCACATTCAAGTTATTGCCCATGTAGACGGTGCCGTCGATCGTCACCTGCTGTACATAACCATGAGCTGAGACGAGAGTGGAGATAGCGAGGGCAGGGAGGAGTTGGGCAAGTTTTCGAAGCATCGTGGATGAGCGAAGTATATAGGGTGTCGGGAAAAAAAGAAGAGATGCGAGGAACGGCGGGGAGAAGAAAAAGATAGACGTTTACACTCGCTCAACGAGAGTTCAAATAAGAATTGGGTTGAATAGATCAAAACAGGCGATTGTCCCAATCGCTGTGCACAGACAATAGAGCTTTCGGTACCAGACCACTGGTGAGGGACTATAAGAAAACGCATTGCAACAGTCTTTTTATAGCTCTGAATGGGCTAAATCAAAACAATGATGTAACAAAATGTAAGGTTGCTTACCATTGTGCGTCAAGTTCATTATGGTTTCTGATGTTTGCCCCTTCTGCGTGTTCCTCGCTTCCGCCTCATCAATCAGAGCACATGCCACATGTTACAGGTGGAGCATATGCGTTACACAAGTTCCGTTTTTTCAAGCTATCGGATCAAGTCGTGCTTCTCAGCGCTCCGTTGGCGTGGTTCAGTCGTGGCGTTAACTTCTCAGACTCGAAAACCCTCCGACTAGGGTATCACCTGAACAAACTTTGATCAGAATAAGAAGAAACCCAGCCGTTCAGCGAATCCATCAGGAAAAAGTTGTGTGTTCGAGTCTATCGATGTCAATAACCCGGTCGTTTGAACTTTGGGTCGAGTGCAGTCAGTTCTTTCAGCAGCGAATTGGGTAGAAGATCGATCGATAGGCATCATGGTGGGTGTGCCGTGTGACAATGCAACGTTCCATAATAATTTCTCACGATCACTACATAATGGAACTTTCAGCTCTCATCCAGCATTCCGAGGTTCCCAACAGCTTCCCCCAAACGTTCCTCACATGCTGGTCCATTTCGAGGTACAGGAGTGGTACAGACCAGCACATGTTGCAGGTGAAAACGGGCTTACAGGAACGTTGCTATCGAAATGGCGATGATATGCGACAAACGTGGGCAGGTCACGGCTTCGTCTTCCAGCCGCCTGTAAAAAAAGATATGTGGTGCAGTTGCGCGCCTCAGAAGTGTCTATAGCACTCGTTATCGCACGACCTGCATAACCTTTCTGTGATGATAAGATATTCCTGTGTCGTGCTCGAGCTGGTATGTCGATACTTTAATAATCCCTTGATAACCATGTGTTTCACAACATGAATTGTTTCTAGATCGAAGAATGACCAACGAATCGTTCAAACCCGTGAGCCATGTTTATCAATCACCGTGTCATCCCCATACACGCCTAGGTCTACATTTCCCAACAAGCGGACTTCGTTTGAAGACACGCCCGCTAGGAACGCCCACTATTGATCCATGGTCTTGTAACGCAAAGACACTATCATTCAGTTGGGCCGGCAGCACCTGCCATTCAACTAGAATGCATGCTCGACATAGCCTCCGTACTGTCTAGTTCGTACGCTATGTTTAGCTTGCACGTTGGATACTCCCTCAAACTGAGAGAGTTGTGTAAAGCGCATACCATTACGTCAGTCAATTTGTTCGCCACGACATCGTGCATCATGTGCGGCGCACTTCGCCTCGATTGTTGGACTGACCGTCAACCTGTCTTTCATGTCGAAATGACCAGCACGGAGATGCTTTTGGCCTGATGGATAGTGAGTGATCGACCAAGTTCTGGCACGTTGATGGTTGGTACTGATATGATTTCATATCCTGAAAAGTCTCAATTCAGTCGGAGAAGATGATGATTTGTATTCCAGGTTTTGTCGAGCTCCAAGGATCAACTCGATGGTCAAGTTAGACTCTCAGACAAGACAGCATGAACGGCTGTGTGGCTTGTCAAGTGAGCGCGTCATAGATAGCGAAAATGATCTGATTAGGTGCGCTTCTTTTAGATGAAACACATTTGATTTATGGCCAGGCCCTGCGGTTTCGTTTACACAAAGAGCAAAAAGTACGCAAATATATTGTTCATTTATCAAACAGTAGCGTCCCACGGTTGGACAGGACACGCAGAAAACGATACGAACGACTAATAGACGGCGTAACACGTGGCATTTGATTTATGATCGACCCATGGGCTCTATTCACACTAAGAGCAAAAAGTACGCAAACACTTCATTCACTCGACATATCTACTTCAGCTCAATATTGACTCCAGTCATTTCTCAATCAGCGCCGTCCTACGTGTGGTTCGATCAACAACAACACTAATGCAACGGTAGACATTTGGCTCACCAGTGTGTTGCTTGTATAGCAGACTTTGTTACTCGAGTGCTGAGTCGCAAAAGGTGAGTCATCAGGTGCAATGTCGATGCACAGCAAACCACTCCTACTCGCAAATGTCGCGCAGATCAAGCCATAACCTTCACAGCAGTCACTTGCTGTTTCACAACTCTGGAGCAAACTTTGACATGCATTGACGCACGTGATAGATGCCGCCAAAGCAACAATAACAGCGAGGAAGAAGAAACACATTGTTTGTGTGTAGTGGTATGAACTGCTGGGGTACTCACACTTTGTGTGAAGGAAGAACGAAGGCAAAAGTCGACAAAAAGGATCTTGGTTCGACAACTCTTGGCTTGGTGTACGACGGATCTCGGTGCACGTGTAGTGGAGTTTTTGCCGCCGGTAAGATATACAGCATGTGAAAAATATACACGCTGTGATCAGTCCTCGGACGCAGATAACGGATTGAGGAAAGAAAGTATCCACGAGAGTCCTGCATCTATCATGTCTGTCGTGCACAATGCAAAATTGCGTACCAGAGTTGCAGAACAAACAGTGACTGCTGTAGAGGCTTGACCTGCATAGGAGTTGTGCGTAGTAGTAGTTTGCTTTGCATCGAGTTTTCTCACCTTTTGCGCCTTGTAACATCAGCTCGGGGGCCCTAACGGACTCTGCTCACACACGTGAGTCGAGTGGTTCAGTTTTTGGATTGATGTTGTTGTTGATCGAACGATGCGTAGGATGCTGCTGATCAAGAAATGGGGTGTCGGATTCAAGTAGACAAATCAAGTATAACTCACATTCTCACGATCATGGATAAGGAAAACTAGGACGACCACGACCTTTCATATCCTGCGTATACTAATGAGCACGATTCTGATCGATTTGGCAGAATTGATATTGGTGTTGGATGGCAGAGATTTCGAAGGAACCTGTTCGATTATTTACGATCATTGCATCATGACCTGCCGTTACTCTAACTGAATACATCTGAACTCTCGGCAGAATTTGTGCAAACCTTTGACAACACAGCGTCGTAAAAGTCGTGGAGACGGGAAAGTCCACACTGCCGTCGACATGCTCATATGTATTATGCACACTAGGTTGGAATTACTGTTGAGACTGCACATGATCTCGAAGCATCCTTCGCATGGACACCTCCGCCCTCGACCGAGCCTCATGATGTAGATGACAAGCTGAAGTGCTCGAGGGAAATTCTTTTCATTTTGATGAGGTCAGACAAAGGGATAACGATTCTAGATGAGATCGAGGTTGTTGATTACAATGGCGAGGATGATGAATAGGACGAGGCAACATTGATATATTATCGTTAGGGATGTGTCACAATACCAGCTAGAGATCAAGTGCGGATTATGGTTAGCCCACCGATCTCGAGCCAGAGAATCCACCCCCGAGAAAGGCTCGATACGAATAGCTGAAAGTAACACCGCTTGACATGCGGCTGGTCGAAAACCCAGATGTCATGAAGACCTAGAAAATGCTGCATTTAAGCTACCGACTCTTCTGATGCTGAACTCCATCAGGATGATGAAGGTTCATGAGCCGCAGTATTAAGTCTCTGAAAACTGTTCGATTAGTGTAAACTCATTGTGAGTATGAGCCTTGTTTCAGGAACCACCGTCAGAGCCGCTTGATGGCAGACCCAATGGTGTCGATCACGTGCACTTGACCACGGTAATATTTGAGTCCCCATTGTGAACGACAATTTTTTCAAGAGGCTAAGTCTAATCATTGAGTGTCAAAAAGCCTGCCCGCAGTTGAAGGTTTTTAAGTAGCCATGACTCACGATAGATTGAACTTGCGTGGGTATATATGAAATGAAATCGAGTAAATGACAAAGCTCGAACCAAACACTGATCGGGTATTGAGAGCTTCGTGGTAAGTCGAAGTGTAACCAAACATCCACCGTACTGGCACAGTGGGTTGGAATCCTGGCTAGTGTCAGTGCAGTAGACCTGACGAAATGTTCTAACGCATGTTGTAGTGGGCCACGGATAGATAAAGCTGCCGCATCCCACCTTAAAAGTTTAGCTTCGGTTTTCCCTGGCAGTTCGTCTATATTCGTGCGCAGTCCAACTCAACCTCAAAACACTCTAGAATCTATAACCACGGATTACATCGATTAGATACACACTTGGAAGTTATCGTAAGACTCGGCGCCTTAGAATTTCTACGGGAAAATCGTCAATGACGTGACTTGAAAAAAGAAAATTATCATGGTACTCGCCCGAAGTACACTTGTTGGACGCCTGAGCAAGAGGTCTGTTTCGGAGCGTCAACCACTGGAGAAAGCCATCACAAATTTCACCCCAGAGTTCCACGCAGAAGGCTACGTTCATGGGAATGTTCGCGGTGTTGACTTTTCTGCCAGACGGGAAAAAAAGCCCGCGGCGAACACTGACCCATGTCACACCGCCCAATTTTAGATAGAACTGGCAGAACTGGTGATTCCCCTGGTCCTCATGGTGGTGCGCGCGTCTGGATTGAAATTATGGTGGAGTATGAGAATCGAAACGCTGGTGGGGACTTGCCTATTATACATTATCACAGCACAGCCACGCAAGCTCTCCTGTACTATGAACGTGTTTTCGCAGTGAGCGCTAAGACCCTGATCCTTATCTTTGTTTCGTTATTCGCGATCATTTAGGGGTGATCGAGAGCATGCGGAGGCAACGAGGCATAAAACGCTGAGCATCCCTTTCCGTTGCTCTTTCTCCTACCGTGACAGCTTTGTCGATCCTTTTCGATACGAAGGGGGGGACCACAGTCTCCTCTGGCTACTAAACATCCTTTGGCAACCCGAGTAGGCTTCCAGCACTTGACAAAACATGCCAAGACAATCGATCAAGAAGGTCGATGCTGCCTCGAAGGAACCGTGAGTCTACCTGAGACGAACGAGGGATAGACTGTGTAAACTGACAGGTGTTAGGGCCATTTGTATCATATGCAGAGATCCTATAGATGGCGCCGCAATCCCAGTTCCATGCGGGCACGTCTTCGACCTTGCTTGCATTACCCACCTCTTCCAGTCCTCAGTCCGTGACGACTCCCTGTATCCACCACGATGCTGTCACAGAAACATACCCTTCACAAAAGTACGACGCTACGTCAGTCAAGCTTTAATTGCAGACTTTCGGCTCAAAGGCCGAGAGAAGAAAACGATGCATCGGGTGTATTGCTCATCGCCATCCTGCAATCGCTTTCTTGGTGCGCTCCACCAAAAGTCGTCACGAAAAGTGTACGATTGCCCAGCCCCGAGTTGTTCCACCCGTACGTGTGGAAAATGCCGTACAAAGTACGAAGGGGTTGGGAACCACAACTGCGTTATTGATGCAGCAACGCAACAAGTGCTTGATATCGCTCAAGCATCAGGCTGGGCAAGATGCCCAGGATGCTCCCATTTGATAGAGAAGATCGCTGGCTGCAATCATATGGTTTGTCGTTGTGGAACAACGTTCGATTACGCCTGCAAGTAATAGTACTGACCGAATTGTCTCGCTTGAATTTACACATCTATGCACTTCCCATTGCAAGGCTCAAAGGACGGGGGACTTCCGATTATGTATTATGCAATAGAGTAGTCTGTATGCTAGAGCTTTTCATTTGTTCTCAAGACAACATATGCAGTCCAATATGCAATTTCTACGCTTATTACCTTGCTTATTACAATGGAGGACGTCACCACGGATCTGATCTAATAATACAATTATCGGTCGAAACCCCACAGTGAAATCTCAAAATCATTAACTCCATGGGAAGTAGACAACAGTAATAAGCATAATATCAAACATCGGGCCTTGTGATGCAACGAGGTCGTCTACATAAATGCATGAAAAGAGGGGCAATCACTATAATATGTGCAAAACACAGCATTCAACGAGATGGCAAGAAAAGAACTATGAACGAAAAGTCAAGTCACCAGGCTCACTCCGCCACCGGTTCAGGTATCCCTCTCGGCAGTCAGACTTTGACTGCGCTTGCGGCGGAGCATAGGTATACTGAGCCTCCGGGGAAGTTTCGGTGTACTCGGCTGACGTTTTGACTTTGGGCTTGCGGGATCTGCAGGCGTACTGGGCGCGCGTATCAAAGCAGGAGTACTTGACAAAATCGAACGACTCCGTTGACGCGAGGTGGTCGTGGACAGACTAGACTTGCTTCCACTGAAGATCGGGGAGCTCATAAGGTTGGACTTGCGAGGAGCGCTGCAGGATGCATCATCCCGTACAATTTTTGGAGCCGTAGGCAAGGGTGGAGGCTCTTCAGCACGAGTAGACCGACCCTTCAAGTGAGGTGCACTAGGATGATGTCTGATGCTGTGTTCTCGATCATCATCAGGATGGTGTTTCTGCATCATCGGTGAACTCGGCTGATGTTTCAGCTTCTTCTCCTGGTTTGAAGACCGGACATATGCGGTATCAAACGTTGCTGACTGCGGACTCGCGCTCGTATCACTGCTCCTTTGTGCTCCACCGTCTACTATGCTCGGTCTCCGCGCAAAAGGGGAGAAGTTGAGCTTGCGAGTGAGACTCACTACACTCGGCCTCCTCGATCGCGGGGCACTTGAACTTCCGTCACTTTGGAAGTTGGACTGCACACTAGGCGTCGTACGATGCGCTGGGAAATTATACTGTGTCGGAATGCGCGGGCTCTGCAACGGCAACGGTGGTGAAAGCTCTGGAGTTGTCATCGTACCTCTGCGAAGGCGAAGTGGACTGCGAGGTATCGATGCATCACCAGCTCGCTCTTCTGCTACAGGAGAAGTGGGTGGCGCCCTTTTCCACCAGACGCGTGAGTGCTGTGGAGATCCGTATTGACCGCTTTGGTCATCGTGTTCATCGGCTTTTCGAGCGCCTTCTTCACGTCGCTTTTGCTTCTCGACCACGCTACGTACGCCAAGGCCTCTTGCCTTGAGCCATCTTCTACCAAGGGTGTAGGATTTGGACTTGCCAGATGGGATCTCGTCTGGACGAGGGAGGAACACACGAGATCCAAACGTCGGCGTTCCACAACGCGATGACGAGCGCTCGAGGATAGGAGATGGCAAAAGTGGTAGGATTGTCGTCGAGATAGGCCTCGGCCCGAGTGACGACGGCAGCTTATTGGCATACATCTCCTGGGCGGTCTGCGGGCCCTCATGTTCGTCGTCTTCTGAGGGCTCAGCACATTCAAACGATAAATCTATCGCAGGATCCGAGATTGGCCGTTCAGGGAGGATATTGAATGCATCCTCAGGTATGTCTACAGGCTCGCAAACAAGATGCCCAAAATGAGAACCTTTTGAGTATGTCACGCGTGCAATGCGCCAGCCAGACGACAGAGCTAGCGCACAAAGCTCCCGTAGCGTGCGCTCCTTGCCGTTGAAAGTTATGTGCATCTATGCAGCCCAGTCAGTAAACCTTTGCAGAGAAAATAATTTATGATCGAGCGTACCACAATGTCCATGGAAAAGGGGGTTGCACTTGCTTTGCCCAAGTTCGGAAGCAGGGGCGCAGGGGCTAGTGTGCCATGTGCGCCCTCGAGGTGCGCTAGAACAGATTCGAGCGTCCACTTTCCGCCGTCAGATTTCTGATATTCGTGCTTTGCGCTACGGACACCCTCATCAACGCATGCTAATGGGAGGATATGATCCGCAATGATAAGCCTGGTCTCTGGGCTGCTTGCAAGCCGCAAATTGAGCAGCACATGACGTGCACGGGCGTCAGGCCAGTCATGTAGGACAACGCGGAGTATGTAGACTGCAGGATGCCGATTGAACTCTGATGAGGGAAGCGGAGGTTGTGGGAGGAAGAAATCGTGGTCTTTCGAATGCATTGTGAGAAAGGCACGTTAAGCATTTGGACGGAGTGCTCACCATAGAACATCACCTGTCCACTCTCCAGCATCTCTGGACACTGCGCACGCCATGCGTCAAGTCCAAGTCCGATGACAACCGGACGGTCCTGGACAATGAAGCGGAACTGCATATCCTGGTCCTCGCAAGAATGGACTGTTGATTGTCGCGCACTGAGCTCGCCTTGAGAAGACTGTATCCTTAAATCAACATGAGAATGTGCAGATTTGAGATCGGTGGACTTGAGATCGGCGCGAGAGGTATGTGACTTGAGATCGCCTCGTGAGGCAAAGGACTTGAGATTACTCCGGGATTTATGCGGAGTCAAGTCGTTGCACGACCGTTGAGGGACGAAGCTGTTGTTTTCCACGGTAGCTTCAGCTTCGTCGCTGCTCACGCTTCCTCGCCGTTTGGGGCTCCCTCCAAACGCCCGTGCAAGGATCATCGTCGTGCTTCCGATTCCTCCTCCAACGTCTACTATCGTCGAACCTCGTGGGAGGGAAAGCCAGTCGAAAGCTGGAGTCACAAGTGTTAGAATTACGCGACTGCACAAACGTACAAGTCAAATGAACAGCGACATACCAGTTAGAATAGCTCCAGGCGCCTCCCACCCACTCGTACCAATCATCGCCTGCGAGAACCGCTCAAGACGGAAAGACTTACCCGGTTCACGACCGCTGCGTGCAGATAACGTGCTTATATTCCTCACATGTCCAGTGTGAGGCTGTGCACCCTCATCTTCAGCTGGCACGTTATCCCCGACAGCCCTTGCTGGTAAACATCCTGCACCACCGCCGTTCCTACCCAGTGCATCCAATCCCCCGTCCTCTAACCACTCGAAAAATGGCACAGGCGTGTTGAATGCGAGATTGAATGCTGGAAGGGGCTCAGGATCAAGTCCCGACCCAGCGCTCCTTCTATCCGATTCAGTACCCAAGCCCACATTACTACTCAGTGGCCTCCCTTCGGATACAACAGCCGAATTCGTAGATGCAAGCGTAAGCGTTGACACTAAAGACGCGCATTTGACAAGGAGCGCAGAAGGGGTGTTCGGAACGTCACTTTTGCTGTAGATCGTGTTGTGCAACGGTGAAGGGTGCGGGGCTGGCGGGGGAAGTTTGAAAGCTGTTCTTATAGACGAGGCTTCTGTGTGGGGTGTTGTGTCGCGTTTGGGAGACAGAATTCCGGAGCCGAGGTCTAAAGGTGGTCCAGCGATGGGCGCAGGCATGGTTGCATCCCATAAACGAGGAGACATGGTTGATTCTGCCACTGTATTGAGCGCATGTGTGAGCGTCAAAGCTTCTAAGAGATGGGGATGTGTCTGCGTAGACAAAGTAGCAGTCGGATGCCCTGAATGGAGGCTAGTGAACGATTGGGTCCGTAAAGGCTGAGGTTGCACTAGAGGACTGCATATATGCGCCTTATCAGCCTGAAAGCCAGATATATTTGCATTGTCCAGTGTATTTTGGGTACCGAGAGCGGATATATGCACCTCATTACCATCTGTAGACCTTGTGGGAGCGCTCCCTGGAGGAGCTAAAGGAAGTTGAACACCCGTAAACGCCTCCGTTAGGTATGCAGCTGTCTTGAACAGCTCATCAGTGCTGGGCGTCCTTACTTTAGAAAGCTACATTTCCAGGTATACAAAAGAAAACGCACCATAATCCGACGAAAGCAGCGATGCCAGAGGTGTCTTCATATTTTTTTTCGGGACTATTAATGGATGTAAATTTGTAGCAAGGGCGAGGGGACAGAATAGAAATTGACAACATACTTTGCAAAGACATCTGCTACGCTCTTGCCGCTGTCGAGCAAGCTTGCGACACGTGTTAGTGCGAAAGTGTCTGGAGCTGTCTCACGCAGAATGTGATGTGTTGAAAGCAAGCGTAGGGGGTGGGCTAAGGCCGAGGAGTTGTTAGCCGATTCGCTTGACCAGCAAGGAAAATGAAGGGGCGGCACGAATTTGAAGTAACAAAGAGTCCAGAAGCTCAGAATATCCGAATAGCCAGACGACACTTAACATCGAACGACTGAAGAACAGACCCACCTAAGCGAACGGAATCCACACAACGAAGGCCGCCCGTACGTTCGGTGATGATGCGCGAAATGTCTTTGACATGTACACCCTCCAGATGGAGTGCCTTTTCCTCCGCCTTTGTCGGTGCGTCTGAACAATTTTATCACGTGACAGACATGACAAGCGCGGGAGAAGGGGGATGTGAAATCACAGGGGCAAGTGATGCATAGAAAAATCGAAATTGAATCATAAGACGGCGATCAGTACACCTCAAGGCCAAGGGAGGAAAATAAGGCACGTACCCCGAGTAAGGCTTGAGCGTGACGCAAGTGCCTTGACAGAGTAATGATTAGGGCCATTCGATCCGTTATTCAAGGCAGCTTGGTCAACCATGACGGGCTCGCTCTGGGACTGGAGCTCTGCGATAATACGGAGTTCTAAAAGAAGCCGCTGTCGTTCGTCTTCTGCATCGCGGAGGATTTCGACGACGTGTAGATGTTCGATAAGACGCAAACATGCTGGAACGGTGTACTGGAGGTCGCAAGTATCAGAAATTACGGGGTACATAAAGACACAGGAAATGATGAATGAACGACAAAGGTGGTCGAATTGAGAGGAGAACGAAAAACAAACAAACTTACCACCATGCTCGCGTCGGACATGAACAGAAATGGTTTCTGTACAATGCTCGTAATTTGGCCAGCAGCAGCAATAATTCTTGTGGCAGCAGCAGTTGCCGCTGGACAGGCAGCGAGTTTCTCCGCTGGTGATGACGATATATATGGAAGAGATGGGGAAGGATAATCGTACTGAAGGTTGGACAATGGTGAGAGTGGGGTCCCATAGGAAGAGGTCTGGGTGCTAAAGGTAGAAGACAAGGGCGTAGCGGGCACTGACACTGGCTCTGGAGAATCTGGAAATGCCGGTGATGAACATTGAGAGGAGTGGGGAGTGGAAGAATCTGAAAAAATGCGGTGTATATCGTCGAGCGCATCGCCCATGAGTGCATGCAGCGCCCGTAGCGTTGCAAAAGTCGGGTTTGGTGACATCGACGGATCAAACCAGGGTCAGCGATTGTGCACAGGGAGAAAGAGTGCAAAGTAGAGAACCTAAAGGAAAAGAAAAAGAAAACCAAGTGATACTTCGCCGCACGTCAAACTGTACAGGACCCATCCGAGTCTGGATATCTAAAAATGATAAATGTGCCCTGTCAGACCAAATCGTGCTACGAATTGAGGACATATTAAATATTCAGGATAATGCGAACCCCCACAACATGCGTTCCATTCGACAATCATCAGACAGAAGCGAAGAGCTCAACCCAGCCATATAGAAATCCCAACTGCAAATCGGGCAGACATCGATATATAGTGAACCGTATAAGAAAGACGTGTCGATCCAGTATGAACATGGGTAAAAGCAGGTTAGAAGGGCAGCGTATGGAACCCATCAAGCTTTCGGGCGTTGCCGGTGGCGTACCTTCTTCCTTGTTCATTCACCGCGCGGACCTAATGATTACACTCAGGCTTATACATAAGAGAGCAGCGACATCGCCTCCACGAAACTTCACCGGCGCACCTGCGAGTACGGACTAGGGACTGGGTGTACTCGCACCACTACAAGAACCATAGATAATCCAATAATATCAAACCGCGGTTGCCATTGGAAGTCCGCACGGCACGTTGTGACTACTTTCACATCCCTAGACCAGACTAACCTGTTTCGTTTGCCCTCGAAACTGTGGCAAGTCCCAGGAATTCCAAAACGAAACGTGGCATCACAACCCCCCCTGAGAAACTGCCCCAGAGGTCAAGTTCTTGAACTAACCGGGTGACCGACACACTTCACACGGCTAAGTGAATGCAGGGAATACGTTCAGGCCCGAAGCGACTGGACAGTAAAGGAAGCCGTCTCTTCAGTAGCATTAAACCTTCGCAGCAGGAGCGCGCTTCTGTTCGCATGTGCGTGCATCTGTTCTTCTATGACCGAATGTCATAGGTTCTGCCTAAACTCCGGTCGTGCAGACAGATCGACTCACTAAATTATCAACATCCTTGAAAACCGCCCCCATCGCGAGAGGAGCCCTTAAGCTCGAAGTGCTGAATAGGAGAGGCAGTGTAACTGACAGCATGACCTAGGTGCCCACTTGTGTTTGTCCAGCTGTACAAGTAAATGAATGAAGGAGGTTCAGACCAGGACCAACTCAGCGAGTGTAATGAATGTAAGGGATAGGTTCCGCCTAAACGCCCGCCGCCCAGGATCACACGCAAGGCAAACAACCCGTTTTACCAAGTCTACAATACTGAGCATCAACTGTAGCGACAGTATAAAAGCAAATCATCTTTCTATCGTCCACTGCAGTTCAAAGTGACTATTCGAGCACGTCAGCAGTTCACACTACCAGACACAAACAATGCGTCTCTCCTTCCTCACAGTCATTGATGCTTTGGCTGCATCTATCTTGTCTGTCAGCACATGTCAAGGTGCGCTCGAGAGTTGCACAACAATAAATGACTGCTGTACGGGGTTGGCCTGCTCGACAATTGTGAGTAGGTTTACATCGAGTTTTCACCAGGTGACTCACTTTTTGCGCCTTGTAACATCAGGTCGGGGGCGCTAACAGAGTCTGCTCAACCTGGTGAGTCGAGTGTCCACTTTCGCATCGGTGATGCTCGAACGATACGTAGTAAGGTGTAGTAGTTGGATGCTGCTGATCATGGATAGAGGCGATATCGAGCTCAAGTAGACATGTCAAGTGAATGTGCATCTACAACACAACTAAAATGAACCGGCCTTACCTTAACGCACGTTAGACACCTAAACGCCTATCACTTCAGTAGTGCACACTGCACTTATATAATTGGCGGAGGTACTGAGTGCCAGTATTACTCCCATATCTGGCTGATCTGGTTTTTCTTTGGTGAAAACCACTTTCTTTTCAGTACTCGACAAACGGTTTCATGACTGAGAAATTCCTATCGCTCGTAACTTCATGTGGCTGTGCATTAAGCTTTTTTCGCTTATGTAAAGTTGAGCTGGAACGCACACCTCTCGCAAATAGTATACATCGGCAAATTGGCCTTTACTCTTTTTGCTGCCAAAGCTGCATTTGCCACATCCCCTGTCTCTGGGAGTTGTCCAGCACTTCCTGTCCAGCGAGCGGCACGTTCAAGGCCCTATCCAATTGCACGGTTTTGCTGTTCTGGGAGTTTCCGGCTATCCTTGAGGACAGCCTGAAACTCAAATAAGGCGACGGCGCTCAGAAATTGACTCTAGGGTAGTAAGCTGATCACATTCAGGTCAAATTCCCTTCTTTGCACGCTCGGTTTCATGGTCCATCCGAATCTTGAGCAGACCAGCGAGGTCACGAGATTGCATTGGCAAGCAGCCCATTCCAGGTGGTTTACTCAACTCGTCACGCAACACGCGGATGGCCGGGATCTTCAAGTTCAGCCAGCTCTTAATTTTATCAAATTTACGTGCACGTAGATCAGGCTTGGTGTAGTGCATCCTTGTCCTCAGTGAACCGATGCCTGTCGTCATATCAACTATAGGTATGTGAAAGGACTTAAAGCCGTTCTTGTTCGACATCAGTATCCAGAGCAATTACGGCAAACGTTGATCGGAGAAGCTCATCCTTTTGTCTTTCAGTTCCACCAGAAACTTCATCGGTGTCCACAGCTAGCCTGACGAGCCTGAGGGCCTCGAGTTCTTCCGCCCTATCTCCTTCATCCACATCTCCATCCTGTTCACTGCCAAAGTCAAGCCTACGAGTATGCTCATGGAGACTAGTAAAGACTGGGTGTGTACGCACTGCGCTAAAATAACGATAAATAGTCCAATAATATCAAATTGCGGTCGCCATCGGAGGTCCGCACGGCATATTACGACTACTTTCGCATCGATAGACCAGGTTCCACTCACCTATTTCGTTTGACCTCGGAGCTGTGGCAAGCCTGAGGAATGCTGAAGCAAAGTGTGGCATCACAACTGCTCCCCAAGAAACTGCGCCAGAGCTCGGGTTCGACCAACCTGGTCTTAAAACCGTCATATAGCCAAGTGAATGCAGGGAATGCGGGAGTAAGCCCCCCTGCGAATAGGGTTATGTCCACCATAGGGTCCTCAACCCCAACGGGCAATGAACTTGATTTTTTTTTTAAAAAAAGCAGGGAATACGTTCAAGCTGGAAGCGACTGAATACTAGAGGAAGTCTCCTCGGTAGCATTGGACAAGCAACCTTGGCAGCAGGAGCGCACTTCTATTTGTCCTGTTCCGAACGAAGTATGTGTGTGCATCAGTTCTTCTACGTTAATAACCGAATGTCATATGTTCTGCCTAAACTCTCGTCGTGCAGACTGATCGGTTCACCAAACTACCAACATTGGCTGAGGGGAGCTCTCAAGCTCGAAGTGCTGAATAGCAAAGGAGAGACAGGGTGACACAAGTACCCGGACAGCGTGACCTAGGTGCGCAATCTTATTTGTCCAGCTCTACAAGCAAATGGAGGAGGTTGGGATCAGGAGTCATCAACTCAGCGATTACGCAATGAATGGAGGGGATAGGTTCTGCCTAAACATCCTCTGCTTAGGATCACACGCAAGGCAAACAACCCGTTCTACCAAGTCCACAGTACTGAGCTTCGGCTGTAGCGACAGTATAAAAAGCAAGCCATCTTCCTATCGTCTACCCCATCTCAAGAAGACTATTCGAGCAATTCATACCACCTCACACAAACAATGCGTTTCTCTTTCCTCGCCGCTATTGTTGCTTTGGCGGCATCTATCATGTCTGTCAGTGCATGTCAAGGTTCGTTCCAGAGTTGCAGAGTCAAAAGTGATTGCTGTGGAAGCTTGAACTGCGTGACACTTGTGAGTAGAAGTAGTTTGCTTTGTATCCAATTTTCACCTGATGACTCGCTTTGTAATATCAGCTTGCGGGTAATAGAATCTGCTCAACCTAGTGAGCCAAGTGTCCACTTTCGCATTAGTGAGCCATGGTTCCGCTTTTGCTTCGGTGCTGTTATTGATCGAACGATGCGTAGGATGTTGCTGATATCAATAAATGGGTAGAGGCAATATCGAGTTCATGTAGGCATGTCGAGTGAATGAAGTATAAGTAACCTACGTTCTCACAATTATGGTTCGTGGGATCATACATAGCCGGACATCGATCTCGTTGATGCACCAGCACTGTGGAAAGCAAACTCAAAAGTCAGCCTTCTGTTTTCAAAGTTGTCTTGTTTGAATGTCGAACCATTGCACTGAGTTCTACGTACACCAATTTGTTTCAACGAGATCCTTTGTTCTGAGTTCAATAACAAGTTTGTCGTCACTGGAATATTATTTCACCGAGTTTGTCAACATGCACTGTTAGAGCTCAAATGCTGATGCGAATGCAGCTTAGCTTGAACGTTTGGAATACCACTGATCGATCATACATGACCAAAATCAAATAGTATCCCTCTTTTCTGAGTCCATTATCTGGGAGGGTACATTTCTGACTTCACTTCCTACCCGTTTATGCGTCAACTTGTACCCAAGTCTGATCATAGCATTTAGATACACTAGCATAGTCCGTTATCTGGGACTGATTGCTGAGGTCTGAAAATAGCGTTTAGATTTTACACGCACCAAGTTACTAATGTGCATGCCGAGATCCGTCGTGAACCGAAATTTGTCACACCAAGATCATCCTTTGCTCAAAACGTGTGTGAGCAGAAATTGGAATAAAATAAAATAAGCGTGTCCTATCAGAAGTCACCAAATCAAAGCATGGATGAGCAAAATGATAGAGGGAGTAAACGTCCGTTGGCAGCTGCCCAGGATCACACGTATGCAGGACAAGTCTGTTCTACCAAAGTTTATAACACTAAACATCAGCTATGGCAATAGTATAAAAGCAAATCATCTTCCCACCTTCTACCCTATCTCAAACAGACCATCCAAGCACCTCAGCAATTCATACGACCTCACAAACAATGCGTTTCTCTTTCCTCACCGTTACGGTTGCTTTGGCGGCTTCTATAATATCAGTTAGTGCATGTGAAGGTGCGGGCCGGTTGTGTGTAACAACAAGTGACTGCTGTAGAGGCACGACCTGCAAATTTATTGTGAGTAGGAATAGTCTGCTGTGCATCGAATTTTCACCTGATGACTCACCTTTTGCGCCTTGTAATATCAGGGCGGGGGTCCTGAAAGACTCTGCTCAACATAGTGAGCTAAGTGTCCACTTTCGCATTGGTGAGCCATGGTTCCGCTTTTGCACCGGTGATGTTGTTGATCGAACGAAGAGTAGGATACTGCTGGTGAAATGAGTAGATGCAATATTGAGTTCACATAGATATGTTAAGTGAATGAAGTATAACCTGCCGTGGGATCATACATGACCGGATATCGATCCCGCTGATCTAGTACCAGCACTGTGGAAAGCAAACTCAGCCTTCTGTTTCAAAGTCGTCTTGGACCAAGTTTGAATCATTGCGCTAAATTCTACATGCACCAAATTGTCGCAACAAGATCCTTTGTACACCAAGTTCAATAACAAAGTTTAGCATGCTATCAGTGGAATATTTATCGCACCGGATGTATTACACTGTTAAAGCTTAAATGCCGATGCGAATGTGGAGCTTCATCGCTTTATCAGCGGGTCGGATTGTATACAGAACCTACAGAACGCTACAGAGCGCTTTGTAGCACTCTGTAGTGAATTACGTTTTCCTGATGTTAGCTTGAACGTTTGTAATACCAACGGCCGAACTCTCGTAGATACTCTCTTCCTTCAATCTGTTATCTGGGTCTGAGGTCTGATCATAGTGTTCATGTTTTACACGCACCAAGTTAGCCTCTACTGATGTGCATCGAGATCTGTCGTACACCGGAGATTGTCGCATCAAGATCCTTTGCTCGAAATGTGTGAGCAGAGACCGAGAAATAACTGAGTGCGAGTGTCCTATCAAGAGCCATCATTGAACTCAAAGCATTATGAAATCAGCGAAATGAAGGGGACAGGTTCTGCCTAAACACCCGTTGCCCAGAATCGCACGCAATGCAGGCCCGTTTTGCTGGCACAACACGAAGGGTCAATTTCGCGACAGCATAAAAGCAAGTCGTCTTCCTGCCGTCCACCCCACTTCAAAGAAACTATTTGAGCACCTCAGTACTTCAAGTTCATACCACCAAACACAAACAATGCGTTTCCCCTTCTTCATCGTCATTGTTACTTTGACGGCATCTATCATGTCTGTCAATGCATGTCTAGGAGCATACCTGGATTGCCTGACACAAAATGACTGCTGTAAAGGCTTGACCTGCGGGATGGTAGGAATAGTTTGCTTTGCATCAAATTTTCACTGGATGACTCACTTTTTACGCCTTGCCCTATCAGGTGCTTGGTCACCAAGTTTGCTATGGCAACGTGAGTCAGGCGTTTACTGTTGCATTGGTGCTGCTGTTGATCGAACAATACGTAGTCTGACGATGCTGATTGAGAAATGGGCAGAGGCAATATCGAGTTCAAGTGGACATATCAAGTGAATGAAATATAAGTAACCCTAACATCAATATTTTGCCTGTGGTGTTATTCCTTGTTTTGACCTAATCAAACTCAAAATCAAAAGCATTCTCTGGAGCACTTCAGCTTCACTAGTGCTCTGAAGTTCTTCACTGCTCTTGAGTCTTCATCTCTTCGAGAGCCACAAATTCAGCAGCAACGTCGTCAGCCAGAGATACTCTCTGTACGAGAAAGAAGGTCATTTACATCACGAATCTTGGTCGAGAGCGGAGGTGTGCACGCGAAGGATGCTTCAAGATTCTGTGCAGTCTCAACAAGAATGTCGAACTCTTCACGAGTATGCATGTGAGCATGTCTACGGTAGGAGGACTCCCCAGCCTCCACGGCTTTTACGACGCTGTCTTGTCGAAGGTTTGCACAAGTTTTGCCGAGTATTTCAAATGTGTTCAGTCCCAGTAATGGCAGGTTATGATAGAAGGGTCGTAATCAATTGAACACGCTATTGCAGGTTCTACCGAAATTTCCGCCATCTTACAGCAATAACGTTTCTGCCAAATCGATCAGAATCGTGCCCAGCATACGCAGGATATAAAAGCTGGCCGTTGTCCTACGGTGTTCCACTATCCTCAAAGATATCATTCGAGATCGCCCTCAGAAGATTCCATATCACCTCGCACAGAAAATGCGTTTCTTCTTCCTCGCCGTTGTTGCTTTGACAACATCTATGTCTGTTGGCGCATGTAGTTCATCAACTTGCAAAGTAGATGATGATTGCTGCGATTTCATGGTTTGCGAAGATAATTACGTGAGTGTGTACAAGTCGCTGTGCAACCAGAATTCAAGCACATGATTGACCTGTGCGCCTTAGCATGGAGGCAAGGACTGCATGTAGATTCAAATTTGAGCCAGCGACCCGAGCGGCACATCGCAATAGTGAGTCATGTTTCTACTTTCGCTTTGGTATCATGGTTGATGGTGCAATACATAGTTCGGAGTCAATCGGTACAGTTGTTTCTGGAGAAAGTGGATGTTTGAACTTGTATATGAGAACGACCGTGCCTGGTCTTGCTCGTCGCCCACTAAGCTTCAGTTCGAGAGGCTGTCAAAACAAGCGATCATTGTTGTTAAGATTAATATTATCGGGAGGTCATACGAAGATAGAACGTACTGCGCAGACAATCTTGAATCTGTTCGTCTAACGTTGGCCTCGAGGACTAGCTCATGGCCTCTCTTTGCAGTGTGTGATGGAGCCAACGAGACGTCACTTTGTTGCCGATCGTGATTCGTGACAGATCTGGTATATAGTCGACCCCCAAGGTCATATGGGAACGCGTGTCATGACGATGATGAAAGTGCAAAAAGGGGGCATCAAAGATAAAGATAAAGAGGTTTAATATTACTGCAGTGTGCATGTGCGGTACTTTCCATCAAGGGGAGAGTGATTCTCTTCATCGAGCGAGTGTTAGATGGAGTGCAAGGGAAAGGACACAACTGAGAGACTGCACCGTCGCGTAGATTGTGTTGTTTTACCTGCATGCATAGCTACAATTGACTCAGAGGATCGTCACAGCAAAGACCTTGAGTAGGTAGATCTCAGAATTGATTA